TATAGATTTCTTTTCAAAGTAATTTCTATTGCCTATACTCATATTTGAGAATTAGTATTGATTTCAGGGGCAAGTTATGGTGAATCTTCAATTTTAAACATGTAAGTATGCAAGGGTATGTAACTAGGTGGTTTCACATTGTTGAATCAATTAGTAAAATATATTTCATTATAAACATGTTGAACCTTTTTCAACATTATTTGTCACAATGTTGCTTAAAATGCATAAATACGCAGCATAATATCATATGTGATATAAATGTTGCGTATGCTTAAGCAAATGCGACATAATTCAAGTGATGATCTATTTATGTTGCATATAGTATCTTTTTAGTAAAATTTTTAAAAAGTGTTGTCATGGCTATTTTCAGCAACACACTGAATTAGTGTTGCAAACAAAGTGTTGGCAAAAGCCTCTTTTCCCATAGTGTAAACTTTTTATAAGATTTATTATTTCCTTAACGATGAAACACAATCTAGCGATTAACACCAAATTTGAAAGCTTATCTTTCATGCTAAAGTGTTTGGAAACACTACACATTACACACAGTAGAATATACATGTCATGAACTTTTTATGAGATTTATCTGTCATTGACGATGAAACACAATCTAGCGATTAACACAAAATTTGATATTCAAAATAGATTAAAAACTTAATGAACAATCTTTAGGGGTTGACTATTCTCAAATAAGTACGTTTCTTATTTTTTTCCTTCTTATATATATGCAGATTTTATTGTCCAATTTGTAGATCATGAATTAAGCAGAACTATCATGATCATTATAAGTTGACTTTAGGAATGTTGGGATCTTACTCAAAGTCTAGTCAGCATTGTGATACCCAATTTCATGGCAATCTAGCAAAAAATTGATGGCGAGATATGATTAGGAATTGATATTTAGATCGAGTACCACTATAAAAGAATTGATAGTTTATGAATGATATTATACATGATGCCATAGGATGCTATAATAACATATTAGTTTTATTCCAAATACGTAAAAATGAAGGTTTTGTCTTCGGTGCCCGCACTTTTTTGTGTGCTTGCTATACACTCACCTCATAGTCGTCATTCTGAGTAGGCTATTTATGTAAAAAATGATGTCAATCGTTATTTGTATGATAGACTAACTCATGATTTAACACAAAAATCATTCAGATTTACTTTGATTTGAATGATTTAGGGTTTAGGAATTTATGGTTAGGGTTTACAATTTTGGATTTAGGGTAGTGCATTGATTAGTTATTGATCCTATGTTATATCATCATACTATATTGTTATGGTGCAAATTTAATTTGTACATATATTTTTGCCTACAAATTCATTTATGATATAAACTGAACGTGTATCTTTAATCTTATGGTACAGTTTACATTTATATATTTTTGTACAAATTACTGTTATAGTATAGATTCAAATTATATCTACAAATACAATACTTTGAAGAAGAAGCTAGCCCACACAAATGAAATCCTTTTTTATTCATTATGACCTCGTATGAATTTTTTTTAGCTAAGCCCATCCGTCCTCCCTTTTCTGCTTTGTGTAGCCCATATGAATTAATTATGTTTTTACCTTAAGGTCCCTCCACCCTCTGCGCAGGGGCCAGAGAAATTGGAATTGGTGAGTTCCTGGGAAGAACCTCCATATACTAATGGTTTAGATTAGATTTAGATTATATTAGATTAGATTTAGATTATATTTAGATTTAGATTCAGTCTTTTATTATCAGTACATCACCATTCGGCAGCCTTGTTTTTAATTCATACTAGTACGGAAGTCAGCGCTGGATGGCGGGGCGACACATAGCTTAGTTATTAATCTACGAGTATAGATAGATAAATCTATAATCATGGGTGTTAAACATGAATTATTAATTTGGGTTTAAGTGAGCCAAAATACTAAAAAGTAATGAAGACACAGATAGGATACATAATACAGTAAAAAATAATGAAAAGAATGTTGAATCATAAGCAAATAGTTTACTCATAAAAAAAATAAAATAAAAATTGTAATTATCTAATATGGAAGAAAAGTTTGAAATGAGAAATATATATATATATATATATATATATATACCATGGGTTAGACTGGTGTATTCCTCGAGTATAGTATACTTGAAGTACTCTTAGTGAAATATCTCTATCTAGACCATGAATTAAATCGAGTTTGAGGTGTGATACTATACCCTAATCTCTAATGGATAAACCCCAGGCACCGATTCTCTAAACTCAAACCAAAAGTTCAATTTAATAAAAATATTAATTGACCGTTAAGATTGGTCGGAGCTCAGAAAAGGAGTTTTAACGGTGATATCACATGGAGTATGGTATACTCCTGGAGTACACCAGTCATTAACATATAACTATATATATATGGCAAAAGCTAGCGTACGTCAAGAGTACACCAGTCATTAACCTATGTTCACACTTGGTTTTTGCACTTCAATATATTTCGCTGAATCAGAACCGTCAGTTATTATTTTTTAGATTAAATGAATCTTGTGGCTTGGTAAGAGAATTAGGGACTGGGGTTCACCAATTGGAGTTTAGGGTATAGTATCATGCCTCAAACTTCGGTTGATTCGTGCTCTAAACAGTAAAACTCGACGGGCGTACAACGTACTTACGATTGACCTACGCTAACCTGAATATTATATATATATATATATACATACATACATATATGGTGCCTTCTACGGTACCCCGAGTGAAATCTGGGGTACCGTATACCTTGAGTATGACAATGCTATTTACTTATTTAGACCTCTGACTCGCTATGACACAATTCCTAACAATGGCCAAGTGTAACCAATGAAAGGGACTGCAGTATAGTGGCTCAAGTAATAAATATCGAATCCACGGGTCTCTAGAGTTACTATTACTCAGCTTCAGTTCATTATCTAGCAAACTAGATTAAGATGAAAGAACTAAAAATACTCTAGCAAACTACATTTAAAGTTAATCTAATTACAGGTTGGGAACTCACTCAGGTATGATTCCCCCTAGCCACTAGCCAGATTAACTATTGATGATCTCTAACTTGTTTCACTTTCATCCACAATGCGGAGAATCCTTGACTAGACCTTGAAAGAAGATCCTAATAATGAATTATAATGGCTTAAACTAACCAAATAGAACTCTACACTAAAAACAGCTAGAACTGAAGTAAAACAAAAGAAAACCATTTTATCATTGTTGTCTGCTTCCTTACCTAAAGTCTCTCAAAAGAAAAGCAAGAATAAACCCATCCTCCTCTGGTATCATTATCGTTGAGCATCAACTGTAGCCTATAGTATAGTAACTTCAAGGCCTAGTTTAGCAAAAGCTATCACCTGCATTCAAATTCACCACATCAATTTAATGCTGTGAATTTTTTGTGTCAGCTGAAATCTTTTGATTAACCAAAATTCCGATTTGGTGGTTGGGGAAAGAGCTCAATGATAGGTATGATCGTACATACTTAATGTAGGGATTGCAAGAAAATGAAAAACAATTACATCTTTTGAAATGAAATTCTACCCTCCCCACCAAGTACAACATTGGTTTTTAATCAAGAAAGTCCTCCTATGCATACATGCATTAGCCATTCAATTATATCGTGCAAACACATATTTCAAGCTATAATGTTCTTGTTAAATTGTTAATCACCACCAAATTCCATATTCAAAAGGATTTGAAACTCAATTTCACCTCCCCTTTGAATGCAACAGCCTCGGTAAGAAATAAAAAGCACCCAAAGGTTAAATTTTAGAAGTATATGTAGTCGCATGATTGCCACTTTAAAAGCAACAAAACAACATACCCGTCAAACTGACCATCTTTACAGTCGCGGTATTTGGCAATTCCTTTCATTCGGACTTCACAATCGAGATGTGTTAACATCTACCTGCACCGCAGTATAAGAAGAAGCATCCTCCTAATGTAATTGCTTCAATTACTCATGAAATAAAATCAGAATAGGCAAGAATGATGCTCGAAATAAGTACAATATTAAAATAAATAGCATTTACCTGAAGAGTTTCAAGGATTAGTGGAATGGACGGGAATAGGCAAGTGATGACGGTGTAGGAGAATCAAGTTTCTCGAATCTAGCAGCAGCAAAAGCATGCTTATACTACACGTTCCCACTTGTAAATGCAAATGATGGTGAACATAATTAGTTTCTTATGGAAGCTGAAAGGTTCAGTGCTGAGAGGCGAAACGAACCGATCCATGAAAATCAATTCAGAAAAGATTCTGAAAGTTTTAACTAAAGAGATATCCTGCAACTCCTCTTGAACCCCATACTGAGCAACAAGGATTGAGATTTTGTTTAACAGAAACAAACGATATGTCACGTGCCTTTTAATTGTTTTTAATTTTCAATTTGAAATATTGTTAGTGGTTGGTTAGGGCCATGGTTCCACTCTCCTGAACGTGGAGTAGGATTAGGAGAGTAGTTAGGCTTTGTTTTGTTATTTAAGTGCTAGATTACTGTTAGTTGGGGATTATGGAATAAGATTATTATTTTGGAGGCTTATGCCTATTATCCTCTCCCTACTTCTTCTCCCTTCTTCCCCTCTTTCTACGTTCTCTTTCTAAACCCTTCCTTCTGCCAATATCTTCCCTTACCTTCTCTGTTTCTAACTCTCTGTTCCATTATTCACTTCCCCTTCTTTTTCCCTTCTTAATCACCGAACCCACTTCCCTCTTCTTACTTCTCTACAAACCCTATTCTTGTTCCGCTACAACCATAGCTCCCAAGCGAGATAAAGGGCTTTTGCCGTTACCAAGTCCTTGGCCGGGACTTGATAGATCGATTACAAGGTCCTACGCAAAAGCACACAACACAATATAGCAAAGCAAGCACACTAAGTCCTCATTGAATGTGAATATAAATGAATCAGTGAGTTAGATCGAGAAAATCAATAGAGAAGAAAGCACCTTTCAACCCATTTAATGCACTCTTGTGCGTCTTTTTGTGCTCTCTGTCCGCCCCGTACTGAAGTTTGGCGATTAACTGAGCCCACAATCGAGATTCAAACACGACCGGCGAGGATCCTCGGCATCATCCGGTGACACCAAAGATTCTATGAATCACACATAAGGAGGAAGATAGTGAGGAAGTTTCAGCAAAATTGATGTTGCTCGAAACTGAGAACAAAACAAATTTGTGAGGCTTTGAAGAAAACAAATTTGCAGCAAAACAAGTTTCGAACAAAACAAATTTGAAGAAGTAAACGAAGTGAGGCTTTGATTCAGGAGAAAAACAATCAAAACATATACCCAAAATTGGGAAGGACATGCTGCAAATTATTAATAAGGTCACGAAGTGGATGTTGGGTTTAACTCAACATGGGGCAAATTTGGAAACGATCTTTCAACAATAGATGTAAAACTGAGTTTGGCAATTCTCTAATCTAAATCTATTAAACTCATATCCATGGCTCCAATAACATGAAAGGCCATTTCCATAATAGGGTCCCTACCAACAAAATAAAGTTTGGGATGGGTGCTCTTTATAACCTTAATTTGGAGCAGACAAATTAGTCTATCTCTCTCCTCCTGTATCCATACCCTTCTGTCTGTGTACTACAACTTCGGAGTTCTGTGGAGAACAAACTGAATGCCAGCTCGAACTCCTCTTACTTCTCCTTTGCAGTTTGATACCGGAGAGGTGGTGGAATTTGGAGCTGGGAACCCTTAAAGGTTGTAAGATTTGGGCTTTTTCCATTTTTTTTTTTTTACAATAAATCAACTTTTATTCCACCACTGACAGAAACGCGCTAAACAGCGACAACACTCTTACAGGAGATCAGAAATTAGGTCAAGAATACTAATCCAGTCATCTGGCTGAGTAAATCTAGCTTTAGATCGTGCCACCCAATCAGCCCTCACGTTCAGTGCCCTTGGAACCTCTTTAACCGAAATTGCAGGGTTATTCCTAAGGATATCAACCATTGTTCTAATCCATGCTGCACATCTCCCGGGCCATCGTGACTGATTTTGTTTCAGGGCCTTCACAAGTACTTGACAGTCAAACTGTATTGTACACACCGATCCATATTCTTGTGCTAATTTTATACCTTCCAGAAGTGCCTTCGCTTCCGCTTCAATCGGGGTGGAACAAAGAAGAAACTCAGCTCTCCCATCACACACTTGTCCATGGTGGTTAACAACCACAACACCATAAGCCGCCGACTGGGAGTCGCTAAGGAACGACCCATCACAGTGAATCACCAACGAGTGATTACTTGGCGGGGGATTCGTAGTGGGAGGGGATCCCCTGAGCTGAGTGGGGCCATCATTAGAAGGAGGCGGGGGCCTCGGGCAAGACATCCATTCTGTTAGTTCTCTATATGCTTGTAGACACACATTTGGGGGCCAAGGAACTCTATTCTTGAAGGTATTCTCGTTTCTCGCATTCCATATGTTCCAACACAGATAGATAATGTGAATCAGGGAGTCATTAGGTATGGTATCTTTGAGGGAGCAGAACCAGTCAAAGAAGGAGGTGCCCTGGGGAGGGGTCGGGATGGATGGGAAAATGGAATTCCATGACTCTTTGGCATGAGGGCAGTAGAAGAGGCAATGGTTAAGGGATTCCACTGGATCTTGGCAAACCTGGCAAATTGGGTTAGGAGCACATTTCCGTTGGAAAAGCCTTGCTTTCGTTGCCAACCCGTTCATGGAAGAACTTAGTATTTTGAAGTTCACGGTATATGAGCAGATTAAAATGATGAAAGATTCAATGCTTTTTGTTTTTTGGTTATTTTATGGATGAAGTTTTATTTTAATTTATTTTCCTTTTTTCCTTCGGGTATATATATCATTTAATCTGGGTACTAACTGGGAACAACTACATGATCATACCAGCAACAATATGCGAACAGCGGAGAGCATTTTTCGGGTGAATCCTGGGGATCGTGTGTCAGCTCTCCCGCCATTCTTCTTTCCCAACAGGTTTACTACTTACTATTACCTCCCTTTGTGTTTTGGGTTTGTCTTGCTCATGTTTGTTGTTAAAAAAACCTTGATTTATGTCATTAGTTTTGTTCTTTGCTGCTAGACTTTGGAAGCCGATAAACAACAATCCTTTCGCCGTCTACAACTATTGAAGGATCTTAGCCTAAAAACGATGAGACCCTAGAAAACAGGGAAAGACTGAAATGAAAGTTCCCGAGGGAGAGATATGCAGGGAGGCCGAAAACCATTGCCTAGAAGGAGCTAATAGGAGAAAGAGAACTCACCAGTTTCGTTCGTCCACACTGTCGATAACTTGGAAAACCCACCGGAGCGCCTAGGCTCTCCAACCGTCCATGCTAGCTTAGAAAAGATGGTGAAGTTCATGGTGGTGAGGTGGGCAGAAGAGTTGGGTGTGGAAAGAGGAGTGCCGCTGAAATTGAAAAGGAAGTACAGAACCAGAGAAGGGAGGTCTTCTCCAATCAGAGGAGTAAGGTGAGGATATAGGTGGTGGCGTGTGGGTAAGAGGCTACAACTTGGAATAGTGAGATGGGACATTACTGAACGGTTGCTTGTGATTGCGGTGAAGGGATGGGAAGGGTTGCTACTTGCTTGCTTGTAATAGCTCTCTTCACTCTTCTCTCACTAGACGACAAAGAATGAAACAGTTTTGGCAAGTTTGGGCCAATACCGTGTAGTCCGCTATTATATTAGAATTATTAAGCCACAAGTAGACAAAAATTACCAAAAATAGAAAAACACTGTCATTACAAAAAAAAATCGCTTAGCACTGTTCACGGAGTGTGTTGGTGATTGTCTCCCGTCCTATCTACATGAGCTTAAGTTTGCCCATGTGTAATTATTTTGGGCGGGCGAAACATAACCGTTGATGTTATTTTTACTGTGCCAGATGCATGGGCTCACAAAAACACACTTACACGTAATCGGTGGCCCCTTTTAAAAACGCTTCTCGATGCTATCTTTTCTCTCACCTCCCAAGACCACAGAATGGATTCCTCCAAACCTTTTTCCTATCTCTTCTCTCCCATCACCACCTCCCATCTCCGAACCCATTGAACTGACGCCAGCGAGACGCTCTATTTCCCCTCTGTTCACTGCCCCAACTCGCTGAACGGCACGCCGGGGGAGAAGAGCCCTCTTTCCCGACATATTTGAAGACAATCAAAGCTGGTACCCGCCATCCGGACATATTTGAAGTCAAACTATTCGTACTCAATTCCATGGCTTCAATTTCGGAGTGAGGTAGATACATTCACTGGGCCGGCAAGAGGAATCATCATAAGAGAGAGGAAAGCACTGACGACCGATGTTGGGAGAAGAAGAGTTTCTATTTAAATTCTCCTTTACGAAGAATTATTAAGCCACAAGTAGAAAAAATAACCAAAAATAAAAAAACACTGTTCGTTACGAAAAAAATCGCGAAGCACTGTTCACGGAGTGTGTTGGTGATTGTCTGCGGTCCTATCTACATGAGCTTAAGTTTGCCCATGTGTAATTATTTTGGGCGGGCCAAACATAACCGTTGATGTTATTTTTACTGTATGCATGGGCTCACAAAAACACACTTACACGTAATTGGTGGCCCCTTTTAAAAACGCTTCTCGATGCTATCTTTTCTCTCACCTCCCAAGACCACAGAACGGATTCCTCCAAACCTTTTTCCCTTCTATTCTCTCCCATCACCACCTCCCATCTTCGAACCCACTGAACTGACGCCTGCGAGACGCTCTATTTCCCCTCTATTCACTGCGCTCAACTCGCTGAACGGCACGCCGGCGGGAGAAGAGCCCTCTTTCCGGCATATTTGCAGAAAATCGAAGCTGGGACTCGCCATCCGGACATATTTGAAGTCAAACTATTGGTACTCGATTCCATGGCTTCAATTTCGGAGTGAGGTAGATACTTTTCACCGGGCCGGCAAGAGGAACCGTCATAAGAGAGAGGAACGCACCGACGACCGATGTTGGGAGAAGAAGAGTTTCGATTTAAATTCTCCTTTGCGAAAACCCCTCCTCTCCGAAGAAAAGAGTCCGCGTAGAGTTGCGGTGGTTTCTGCAAATCAAAATACGAAGCAGAGGTTGGGAGAGATGCGACTGGAAAGGGATCTGGGCATCTGATTCTTCCCTCACAGGGGCACTCGGACTTGGATTTTGTTTTCCCTCTCTCCCTGGATTTCATTGATGCAGGCATAGTTGAGCTGAATCCCTCGCCGCCGCTCCCTCAATCTGTCTCCTTCGAGCTAAGCCTCTTGTCGTTCTCAATTTATTCCATACTTCGACAAGACGGCAAAACGATGGCCGCAAAGATGTTCCTCGTCCACTGAACTCCGACAAGATTGGCCCAGTTATTACTCATTGTGGCCATTGGAACCTGGCGAATCTTTTGGCGACGACATTGATGACTGAAATTGGGTGAGTCAACAACTTGGATTTGGCTCCCCTGACTTTTGGTTCATGGATTTTCTTTCTGTTCATTTACCGCTGACTCCTACTGTCACCCTAGAAAATGGCCAAGTGAAACCACTTCCTAAAGCGTAGTATAGCGGGTTTGGGTTTTAATGTCAACCCGGGTCCTAGATATGATGACTACTCAGTGAATTCTTATTATCTAGCGGTGAAACTTAAGTGCAGGTTCAAACAAGCAAAAACACAAAGCAAGTTAAACGGTTGTTTCAAGTCGAGAGAGGTCACCCGGATATGGTTCCCCCTAGACTGCAGTTAAGCTGGATTGCAATTACCAAGTTCAGTTTCTATGATAGTTATACTGCGGAAGGTTCTTAAAAAGTCTGAAGTCTCGACTAAAGGTCTCCAGACCCTCTCAATCTGAGTCTCTAGCGGGCAACTAACCTCCACCGGAGTAAACAAATTGAGACTCTAACAAACAAAACCTCCTCTACCGAAGTAACTTCGGTACAAAATAGTGAATTGGCTCCTCGACTAAAGTTGCCAATTCACTACCTTCAATTAAGGGTGCTCTATCAACCTAGGCAGATATTCTCTTTCTAGGTTAAAGCAGAAACAACAGGAATTTGATCAGGATTCATGCCATTCAATCATTTAAACCTCAATTGAATATAAACACATTATAGAATCTGTACTTGGGTTCATACAATCAGACCTAACATACAAATCTAGGGTTTCCCATACCCAGATGAATGGGAGTACTACTCCATGGAGAAAGAAGCAAAAGCAAATTCAGATGCGGAAACCATACTGTGAAGGATGGATTTGTGCTCCTGGTCGTCGATCGGCACTCCTCCAAGCTTAAGCCGGGCTCCAATGGTGATGAAGATCAAGCTAGGGCACTTGGGAACTCTTGTTCGTCTCTTTCTCTCTCTAGGAATCGCTCTGTCTCTCTAAAACTCGAATCCCCTTCTCTTTTGGCTGAAATCTGCCTAAAAGGGTACCATTGGGCAAAACACGGTCGAGGGCACGGCCGTGCTTTGCTCCAGCCCGCCCGTGCCCTTGCCACGTGTTAAAAACATGGCCAGACTTTGGGGGAAACACGGGCGTGCCTAATGTTGGACACGGTCGTGTTTTGGGTCAGCCCCGCCCGTGTTTTGGGCCAGTGCAGGACAAACGTGGATGAAGCCTCGGCAGTAAAAACACGGTCCAGGAACACGGCCGTGCTTTGATTTAGGCGCGCCCATGCTTTGGCTCCAGCTCGACCGAATGACTTCCGAATGCCCCGAAACTCGTGCTTAGCCTTTCCTTCGGCTTCTGGGACCTGAAATAGGCCAAAAATACACGACTATGCCCCACAAACAGATAAGAACTAGGGGTGCAAACATGTGCAATTACATCGTTATCAAATTCCCCGAAACTTAACCGTTTGCTTGTCCCCAAGCAAACTAAGTCAGACACAAGGTAAGCTTAAAACGTTTCAATCAAGCAGGCTTTAGGGCATATCATATCGGCACAAAACACGTGGATCATATTGGCTTTCGATCATTAACACATGGATAACATCAACGACAACCTAGACAACCACCACAGATGACATTCGAATGCAGTAAAGTCGAGAAAAGGAAGAGTCTCCCTTCTGTTCACCAACCAACATAGACTGACCCAACCACTTATTCAAAACAGTCACTCATGCATAAAGCTCAAGATATCAGAATTAAGACCGAGCAATCTAGGTCCTCACCGGGATAAAGAGTATAGAGAATATGAGAAAATGAATTGCTCACTCTCGACCAGTGGGGTCCGGACAATTTGATGCGAAAAATGCGCATGCTTATTCTCTCAATCCCTAATGTCTCTTCACCATGAAGGCAGTCTCTAAATGCTAGAGTTCACATATGAGGTGTCACCACTAACTAATCCGGAGGTCTTAGACACAGGTTCAGATGACTGGCTATGGTCTTGGACATGGGGAAAATGCCTTTTAGGTGGTGGAAGTATTCATAGCACAAGGTTCCACATTTCCAAACCCAACAAACTCACAGTCAATCAAACCAATAACTTTCTTTCTGCTATTCTGCATTACTCAAATTCTTCAGAGCATAAGAGCGAAAGAGGTCACATAAATGCTAGTATTTCTAAGCCAGACTACTAAGAAACACTACGTAGTGGGCACTATTTAGATTTTTAGTGGTGGCTCTCTTTTGCTTTCATTTTTTTCTTTGTTTTTCTTTCATTTTTTTTCATTTCTTAAGAGAACCACCACCTCTGCACATTTTTCAAACATATGCCCAACTTTTTAAGAACTACCTCCAACTCTCACATTATATTTAGCAGAAACAGCAGAGAACATGCAAAAAACACTCTGTGGAACCTTCTAGGAGACGCAAAAGGGTGATTTTTCATTGCAGACCGAAAGAAAGGGTAACACACGGCTCAAAGGGGCTGACTAGGGGGTATGACACACCAGGACAGTCAATTTGGTCGTGGGCTAATCTTATGCCTCCATCATCTTAGCTAATGACAACGTGAATGCTGCACATCATGGAAGAGGGAACTATCGCACAAGAAAGAAACGAGCAGGCTCAAATCTCACATGGCTACCTATATGCTCTATCTCTCGCTCTGATTCCATGGACTAGATGCATAAATGACTGTCAAAAGCAAGTGATCAATCCAAGTCACCGTTGGTAAGCAAACAGTTGAAAAACTGAACCCCTACACAGTTCTACTGCACATCTCAGTCATCATAATAGGCTGTCTTAGTCACACTCAAGTTGTCATGCATCAAGTCAAAAGCCATTCAATTCACTAATCACATCCACGGTGCCAATACGATCAAACATCAAGCAAACAACAGTGCTTGGAGCCCTCAAATATCGAGATTTGGACAACGGACTAGGCTCCAAGCACACATATATACGTTCCAATTAATACAAAGAACCCTGATATTCAGCTTGAATATATCGGATTCTTGGACTTTATGTGATTATCCCATGGTATGTTTTAGCCAATTGGTGCTATTTTAGGGCTCGCTAATCCGAGAATGGTTGAAAAACCATTACTGCCTAGTGCCATTAGTTTGATATGATACAGGTGGAGAAAACACGAAAAAGAAGCGAGTGCACAGCAAGTAATTGGGCCAAAGCCCAAATTGATGAGATTTTGGGAATTTGCTGGCTGCAGAGATTTGGACGGGCTGGAGGAAGGAAGAAGAGCTGGGCCAAAAGTGGAGGGCCATTTTATTTTGGGGCCGGGCCAAGATTATTCTTGGAAGAAAGGCTTGGGCGGACATTATTCCGGGTTTCGGGTGACGAGAAGCAAGAAAGGGAAAAAGGCAAAAGTGGACGAGGGCGGAGGGAATAATTGAAGGAGAGTGGCGGGCAGAATTTTTTTGGAGACAAAAGGCAATATTGGGCGGCGCTTTATTCTTGGAAAGAAGGCGCAGCGACGAGAAGAAAGAAAGCGAAGGCAGCAGGGGCGATTATCGAGCAGCGATCAATTTTCCATGCGGCTTGAGCCGAATTCAACGAGAGCGATTAGTTGGTTGGATTTTCTGAACCGAACTAGTTGTGTATTGTTGATTTAGAACATGATGAACAAAACCCTATCGTTTTATCTTAATTTCATCATGAACTAAACCCCAATTTCTGGGGGAAACACCATAAGATGTAGCTATTTCTTTATTTGATGGATTGATTCATGATTCTTTTCTTCCAATCTCTATTGCATGAAATTTCTTAATGCTTTGTGTTGACTGGCCACCAATACAACGATTTCTAGTTAATTAGGTTATTAGCGACAGTGAAACCCTAATAACAGAACCTATTTCATGTGACATAGTAACTTATCGAAGCGACAGTGGATTAAATAAGGTGCTATGTGGTCTTAAATAGGATATCGATCTTCAGACTATATAGTTAATTCATTGAGCTACGACAGTAGGATTTGAATTGATTGTTTAGTACGTAGTAATTCCCGACAGGGATAGCTAGCACATTCGTGATATCCTGGCTGTAGAGGTATGGATTAAATTGATTGGAATATGTGAATTAATCTGGATAGGATAGGTAGTGAATCCCGATGTTTCTCCAAGAGCTTTCTCCCATTGACTTAAACCCGACACTTTAATTTGCTTGTTTAGTTAATTTTGCTAGTAGTTAATAATTTCATTAAATCATTTTCACCTGTAGTTTGCTCTATTAAATCGGTAAATCTTAAGGTTGTACCAGTCCCTGAGAGACGATACCCGGACTTTCCGGTTAACTACGAGATAGGATTAAGGCATACGCTTTTGCCCTATCAAACCCCCCCTCCCACACTTAAATGCGACAGTGTCCTCAATGGAGCAGAGGGAAGGGGAACGATGTTACCGGGAAGTGAGATCAGGAACGGGGACTGGGAGGCAGACCAGTCAAGAGCAGGGTACTGAAAGGGGAGCCAGTCAAAGGCACAGAGCTAAAGTCAACAAATACACACACTGGGTGAAAGAACCGGAGTTCCAAGTCTACAATCCAAAATAATAATAAAAACAAAACATAACAAAACAAAACAAAATAACAAAAACATGGAGTCTCAGTCTGGGACACAAATGACGCACAGAACCAGCCACTCGCCACTAGAATGCATCACCACCATCGCCGGTGGGTGGAGGGTACTCGTCCTCATACCTCGGGGACTGCACGAAGGGGTAGTGGACTGCGTTCGGGTCCAAGCCCAGGTATGACATGATGTAGTGCTGGCCTGACATAAGACGACGCCCGAGGTCCCGCTCACGATCGAGGCGGGTGTGAATGAGCTCCTGGCCAGCCAGGATGCGCTCGTTCTGCTGAGCGATGGCCGCCAACTGGTCAGAAATGGGCACCACTGGAGTAGAAGACCTGGGATCCGGAGACCTGGGAGCAGCGGAGGGGCTCGCAGGAGCCTGGCCACGACGAACAGTACGACGGGGAACCCGACGTCCCCTAGCTGCGCTCGAATCTGGCTGGTCACCCTCTGCAGGTAGAGGTGGATGAGGGAGGCCCGCAATCCAGTGCACACGCCCGTGGCGAGCAACCAAATGCTGGTGGCGGAGGACGGCCTCGCTGAACGGGGTTGGTCCTCGGACCATGGTCATCCCAGTGAAGTCGTACCCGTAGTAGCGGGCCAAGGCGGTGATCACCGGGCCACAGTCAAAGTCGCGATCTTGGCTGGCGGAGGCTTTGCCGAACGTCCGGGAGAGCACAGAGCCCAGCTTGATGGTGTGTACTGCTAGGTGAGCAGGCATCGGACGGAGGAGAGTGGCCCGCGTTTGCCTGGCAGTGTACTGCTCATCCGCATGGTTCGGCAGGCAAATTCGCTAGAAGTACGCCTGGGAAGCAAAGTCCGTGGGATTAGTGATGTCCAAGTGCAGGGGCCGGTCGCTGGAGTGCGGGGTGTTGAGCCGAAGTGCAGAGGTCAACTCCCAGTAACTGACGGAGTGCTCCACCCCGCCGAGTGTGAAACGAACCGCATCAGCATGGTCGGCGGACCCCTTCGAGGAGTGGCGGAAGGAATCGTGGAACTCCCAGACGAGCTCCTGGTAGGTCGGCTCGGCGAGGCAGAGAAGGCGCCGCCAACCATAGGGGCGAATAACGGCCTCCATCTGAGGCCTGGCATGAAGCGCCTCGAACACCTCAAAATCGAGGTGCAGGTGCTCGGAGATGGTGCAGTTACGGATGGTCCGCAGCAGATGGCGTTGGGTGATGCTCAACTGGTCAAGGTAGTGTTCTATGACCCTGCAAAAAAGGATGTACAAATGGCACACAAGCGAATAGGGTCAATGTTGGGCAAAAACCACACCCGGAGCCCTCATATCGAAAGATATGGACAGTGGACTAGACTCCTGGTGAAACAAGCATACCCATCACACGAGAATCACACAACCAAACACACTGTGGACCCTCAAATCGAGCGATTTGGACAGTGGACTAGGCCCCCGGTGAAACAAACATGCCAATCATACGAGAATCACACAACAAAACACACCGGGGACCCTCAAATCGAGCGATTTGGACAGTGGACTAGGCCCCCGGTGAAACAAACACCAAATCCAAACCAAATAAGCGCCAATCGATCCACCACACAAAAACCACACAAGCACGCGTACAATGCTAACATGCAAATGGTAGGCCGAATAACTGAAATCCCGAGACAAAAATATAACACGCAAAGAGCGCCATCGGCCTACCAAATCATTCCCAAATCATGCCACAATCACAAATTCTTCACCTAACTCTAGGTATCGATTCTCCAAAAATAAAATAAAAGACAATAAAAACACACCTAGAGACGCAAGTAGATACCAGAAGAGAGGTGAAGAAAGTGGAAGAAAATACCCCAAGTCGGCCAAACAAGCCCAAACCTTTGGGGATTGTGCTCCTCGACGCCAGGAGCGTGGGGGCGGTCGCGGTTTGTGATTTGGAGGTCGGGAGAGGAAGTTATGGCCAGAAAATCGAAGGAGAAGAGGGAAAATCCGAGTTTCCGGTGAGAGAGGTGTTTGAAATTTGAAACAAAATGAATCTGTGGGAGAGAGGGCTGAAAATCGACTTTTATAGGGGGAGGTCAAAACACGGGCGGGCTGGAACACGGCCGTGTTCGGCGTGCTCCGCGCCTGTGTTTTTACTGCCGCGGCCGTGTTTCCCCCCTTTGAAAACACGGAGTTGGATTTCTCCATGAAGATACGTCAGCCCTTCCGCCGCCCAACTACTATGTTCAACTTCTACTTCCAGAGCTGAAAATTCACAACAACATAGTCAAGCTTATTGTTTGGATTCTGGGAAATTGTCGTGGCAACTCAAAATCTTCGCTCAATTTTACAATTAACTAATTAAGTGAATTCAAAATTGTTGCCCCCTTTTTCCTGGTTTCTGGGAATTGTGGCTCGGGAGTACTCTTCACCACTCCCATCAGCTGTAGCAAGATTTTCCTTGCCTAAACTTTTATCTGATGGTCCAAACATTGCTGCAATTCGTTCCTTAGGGGCCTTTTTAGTCCGAGGGAATGGGACCATATCTGCAGCTCGTAGCAATCCTGGTTTGTTTGTATGGTCTCGTTGAAGCTGCATTAACGGCTCATCGAGCAACATCCAATTCGCCAATAATATGTAAGACAATCTTAAGAGTTTAATAAGTCTAATCAAACTCGACCATGACAACAAAGTACCTGGTGCCTACCTTAAATTTACCAAGCTCCAGAATTGTCTCCACAACTTCCTGGCTGATTGAGTATTCAATGAAATGAAGATACATGATTATCATTCACCCGCAATCCCTCCAAACACTTTATAAACTGCTCACAGAATGAACAAGGAATAACAAGAATTTCAACATACTGCAAAAACAAAAGGGAAACCAAAGAACTAAAAACGGTTAAATTACACGTTTGGTCACTCGAATTACACGTTTGGTCACTCCAAATGATGTCGTACTACCTGCCGACGGTGGCGGCGGCGACCACCACTTCATTCCAGATCGGAGTGAAGGCCCGAACAATGACACCGTCGTAACAAGGGGAATTGAGCTTCAGGAATCGCTTCAGCTGCTCTTCCAGCACGCTCTGGCTGTAAATACACTTCTCCGCCACCATCTGCATCATCGAATCCCTAAAATCCAGATCGAAAATGCCCATTACTGAAGGAGGCTCCTTCTTATTCTTCATCTTCTTCTCCACCTTAATCATATATCATCCATCAACCACTCCCCATTGGCCCAATTAATCGATCAGCATTCACCAGTAGAGCTGAGAAAGCAAATACTTTGTGCAAACTGACAATCTTATTGACACGATGATTCACAACTTAAGTACATGATTCCTGCCACTAATCTCAGCATTTAAGTATCATCCTTAACTCCACTACTCTGTAAAATAGCTAAGCCAACAACTAACTTCTGACTTTCAGCTAAACAGCTGACTTCAACTAAAGGAAAACATAACTTTGGTGACTAAAGAATAACTTCGCCACACGACACAGTTTTGACATAAGCTAAAACACAGAATTCAAATGCTGTCTTCTTAGCACCAGCAAGCTTCAGCCCAGGATTTGATTCACAGCACCAACAAATCCTCCCCTGAACTGAAGCCTCTTTGCAGCCTTCAGTTCAACCTTCCAGGTTCTTCACTCGATCTCTGAAAGATCAAAAACTCCTAGTTGTCCCCTCAAGTACTGGAAAGTGTCTTGCTTCAGGGCCTTGGTCATCACATCGGCTATTTGATCATGTGTCCCACAGTGTTCGAGTTCGATGAAACCTTCTTTGGCAAGATCCCTTAGAAAATGAAATCGAACGTCGATATGCTTGCTCCTTCCATGCATTACAGGATTCTTGCTGAGCTTGATTGCTGAATTATTGTCACACATAATCTGAGTAGTCCCCTCTACACATTGCTTCCAACCCATTTGCTCAAGGATCTTTCGAAGCCAAACACATTGAGTTGCAGAATATGAAGCAGCTACAAATTCTGCTTTTGTGGTTGAAAGAGTAACCACTGGTTGCTTCTTTGAAGACCATGATATGGCTCCTCCAGCAAGAAAGAACACGTAGCCGCTGGTGCTCTTCTTGTCATCAGAGTCCCTAGCGTAATCACTGTCTATATATCCTACCAAAGAGCCATCTCCAGCCTTCCTTCCATACCAGATGCCATAGCTCACTGTTCCTTTCAGGTACCTTAATACCCTTTTGGCTGCCAACAGATGTTGTCGAGTAGGAGCCTCCATAAACCTGCTTAGTAAACACACTAAAAACATAATGTCAGGACATGTTGCAGTAGCATACAACAAGCTCCCTATGAGCTGTTTGTATTCAGTGACATTAACAAGAACCTCATCTCCATTCTTTGTGAATTTGGCACCAGGAACAATAGGATTTTTCACAAAGTTACATTCTGACAAATGAAATCTGATCAGTATATCCTTTGTGTACTTCTGTTGGCCAATAAAAATCCCCGAATCATTTTGTATCACCTCCACTCCAAGAAAATACTTCATCTTGCCCAATTCTGTCATTTCAAATTATGCCTTCATGGAGCTCTTGAACTCCTCAATCATCACGGAGCTACTGCTGGTATACATGAGATCATCCACATATAAGCTAACCAACAGAATATCAACACCAGATCTCTTAATGAACAAAGTATGTTCATGGCTGCTTCTCTCAAAACCATTCTGCAGGAAGTAATTTTCAATCTTGCTGTACTAGGGCTTTGGAGCCTGTTTAAGACCATACAAGGCCTTCTGGAGCTTGTACACTTTATCTTCCTCCCCAGCAACCACAAAGCCTTGTGGTTGCTCAATATAAACATCTTTTGTTAGCTCTCCATAAAGAAAAGCGCTTTTCACAGCCAATTGGAACACAGTGTAACCATGATATGCTGCTAAGGCTAACAGTGCTCTAATTGTGCCCCATTGAGCTACTCGAGAGAACACTTCAGTATTATCGATTCCATGTTTCTGAGCATAGCCCTTAGCAACTAACCTTGCTTTAAACTTGTCCACTGAACCATCTTCTTTGAGTTTAGTTCTATAAACCCATTTAACACCAATAGGAACAAAACCAGCAGGAAGAGTGGTAAGAATCCAGGTGTTGTTCCTTTTTATTGATGCAATATCCTGCCTCATAGCTTCATTCCACTTCTCTTCCAATGCTACTTCCTCAAAATTTTGAGGATCATCACCAAAAACCACTAGACGCCATCAATCTGTGTCTGTATCAGCCTGGTAGTTGCAATCATAAATGGCAAGATGTGCAGGTGGTTTTCTAGTTCTAGGGGTTAGTTCAGGTGAACTATCTTGTGCAACATCTTCTTCTTGTGCTGAAGCAAATGAGTTGCCAACAGAAATTGAGTTTTTTGGCTTATCGACTTCTGCAGATTCTGATTCATCATCTGAATCCTCTAGAGGGTCATCACTACCCTCCCAAATCAGTCGAGTTAACACAGGTTGAACCTTAGAATTCCAAGTCCACCCTTCATTCTCATTGAAAACCACATCTCTACTAATAATCACTTTCTTAGTAGCAAGATTATACAGTTTATAAGCCTTAGATTCTGATGAAATACCAAGTAGTTGACACTTAGCACTTTTATCATCCAGTTTCTTTCTTTGATGATCATGTATATGAGCATATCCAACACAACAAAATACTCTAAAGTGAGATACTGAGGGAGGAGTACCTGTCCACAGCTCATATGGTGTTATGCCCTTGTTTGCTGAGGTGGGACTTCTGTTCAATACATAAGCAGTCCAGATAACTGCTTCGGGCCAGAAAATTGCAGGTACCTTGGTATCTTCAAGAGAGCACCTGACCATATTCATGATTGACCTGTTCTTCCTCTCTGCAATACCATTTTGCTGAGGGGTAAGAGCAGCTGTGAGCTGTCTCCTAATCCCAGCCTCTTCACAGACCTGTTTGAACTCAGTCCACATAAACTCTCCTCCTCTGTTAGTTCTCAGACAGGTAATAGAATGTCCAGTCTCTTTTTCCACTTGTGCCTTGTATTTCTTAAACCACTCCAGTGCCTCAGACTTAGCAGCTAGAAAATAAACCCATAATTTTCTGCTGTAATCATCTATGAGAGTTAAGATGTATCTCTTACCTCCATTTGATGCTGGGGTAATTGGGCTACACAGGTCAGCATGAATAAGTTCCAGCTTTCTACTTTCCCTCCATGCACTTCTCTTTGGAAAACTATGCCTGTGTTGTTTGCCTATGAGACAAGTAGAGCAGACACCAAGTTCTCCAGTTAGCTGGGGAATCCCTTCAACCAGTCCCTTTTTCTGCAACTGCTTCAGCCCTCTCTCATGCAAGTGGCCAAACCTTCTATGCCACAAAGTCATACTAGTTTCTTTTGCTTCTTTTGTCTGTAAACAGTGCAATTCCTTATCTTTCTTTTCATTGTCATACTTGGCCTGCAAGACAAACATCCTATTACTCTTCATGGTTGTTTGCAGCAGGAAACCCTTGTCTCCATGAAAGATCTTGCCGATCCCATCCTTTATAAGAAAAGCCAGATTTCTTCTTGAAGTTGTCCCACACTCAATAAATTTGTCTTGAGACCAGGTACATAAAAGACTCCCTGGATAGTCAGAGGTAATTGATCCACCAGCATCCTTACACTGCCTTTTCTTTCAACCTGCAGCTTGCATCCATTTCCTAATTTGACATTGCAGTCAACTTCCTTCTCTTCCTTCTCTTCCACATAAGCCATTAGTAGCATATCATTAGTAGCATATCATCCTTCATATCCATTCCAGACTTGTTGTGATAATGAGAGGGACACGAATTAGAGTAGTGAGCCTGCTGGTTGTACCAGTCAGGGCACTCATTTCTGTAGTGCCCCAACTTATGACACTTATAGCATTCCACCATGTCTCTATTCCATGATTTGCCTCCCCTTCCTCTTCCTGGACTCATTTAACTTCCTCTGACTCTTCCACCTCGACACCCAAATCCATGAGTTGCCTTCAGTGCTTGCTCATATTCTGCGGAATGCCTCGTAAATTTCTGCTCATGAACCAGCAGAGAACTTTGCAGGGCATCAACAGTTAATTCCTCAATGTCTTTGAATCTTCGATTGAGCAAACAATGTAATTAAACTTTTCTGTTAAAATTCTTAAAATCTTTTCCACAATCTTGCCATCAGTCATTGATGCTCCAAAATTCATCATTGAAAATACCCTTCTCCGCCACCATCTACATCATCGAATCCCTAAAATCCAGATAAAAAATGCCCATTACTGAGGGAGGCTCCTTCTTATTCTTCATCTTCTTCTCCACCTTGATCATATATCATCCATCAACCACTCCCCATTGGCCCAATTAATCGATCAACATTCACCAGTAGAGCTGAGAAAGCAAATACTTTGTGCAAATTGACAATCTTATTGACACGATGATTCACAACTTAAGTACATGATTCATGCCACTAATCTCGGCACTTAAGTATCATCCTTAACGCCACTACCCTGTAAAATAGCTAAGCCAACAACTAACTTCTGATTTTCAGCTAAACAGCTGACTTCAACTAAAGGAAAACATAACTTTGGGGACTAAAGAATAACTTTGCCACACGACACAGTTTTGACATAAGCTAAAACACAGAATTCAAATGCTGTCTTCTTACCACCAGCAAGCTTCAGCCCAGGATTTGATTCACAGCACCAACAAGAGCAACAATGGCGCCGCCGACTCTCCCGGACTCTCCATGTAGCTCCTCTCCGTCTCTCACTAAATTAATTTTCCTGCTCTCCCCAATTTTCATTCCCTGCCCCCTTTCCTTTCAGATGTAAATGGGATTCACGTGCAATTGCTCCGCGCCGACGTGGAATCCGGCAACCACGATCACCCCACCGCCGTCGGAGCTAAATTTCGCATCAACAACTTAACCTAGTTCACTGACTCCGCTCGTGGCGGCATCACGATCTTGCACGGAGTGGAGATAGAAATCCCCAGATCCCAAATCATCGGAATCATAAGACCCAGCGGCAGCGAGAAATCGACGCTTCTCAGATCCCTAAACTGCCTCTAGGAGCCAGCGCGTGGCACCGTGTTCCTCAATAGCCGCGACACCACTGAAATCGACGTCTTCTACCTTCGCCGGAAAGTTGGGATGCTGTTCCAGCTCCCTGCGCTGTTCCAAGGCACGATCGCCGACAATGTCCGGTACCACCCCCGACCGATGACGCAGATGGTGGTGGAGAAGGGGATTTACTGCCTGAGCGGGCTGGAAGAGCAGCTGAAGAGATTCTTGGAGCTCAATTCCCCCTGTTACCATGCCGTCATCGTTCGGGCATTCACTCCGATCTGGAATGAAGTGGTGGTCGCCTCCGCCGACATCGGTAGGCAGCACGACATCAATTGGAGGGACATCAATCATATTATTTATTTTTATAATTTAATTAATTTTTATTAAATAAGCAATATGGTAAATCATATACACAAAGTAAGTGAAATAATTAGGTGGACAAATATATATATATATATATATATATATATATATATATATATATATATATATATATATATATATATGGTGCCTTCTACGGTACCCCGGGTGAAATCCGGGGTATCGCATACCTTGAGTATCAAAACGCTATCTAGACCTCGAATTAGCAGGCATGATACTATACCCTAACCCTTAATGAGTGAACCCTAGGTCCTAATCATCTAAATCATAAACTAAAAACCCTACCATGGTGTGTTACTTTTTTTTGCCTATATTTGGACGAATCAAAACCGTTGATTATTGTTTCTAATTAAATTGTTCTTGGGGTATAAGATTTAGAGAATTAAGACCTAGATTTTGATCTTTATGGGTTAGAGTATAGTATAATGTCCTAAAGATCAGTCAATTCAAGTTTTAGATAGCGTTTTCTTACTTAAGGTATGCGGTACTCCGGATTTCACCCGGGGTACCGTAGAACTTCCACGTTATCTAGTTAACCGTCAAACTTTATAGTTGACAGCCATGTAGGACATATTTAACGGAGTACGGTCGGTGATTAACGGTGAAACGATTCGTAAAGTTAGTGGTGAATTAAGATTCAGAAAATTAAGATTGGAGTTTGCATTACAAAATAAGATTATATTTATTGCATTAATAATAGATTCGCATGTGAAGTTATGATGATTATTAAATTCAATATAGTTATGAAATTTTAAGTTTATCTTATAGTACTCGTTAAATTGATGATATAGAGAATGTTAAGTTCTTTTTAAATTTGTGTAGTATCACTTATAAATTCTGATAACATTGCAGGATATTGGTAGTTATAATCCGGATGACCATGATTACACCTTGGATTTCATTGATGGCGTGGAATACACTACGGATTTGCTAGCATATAAAGCAGCTACTGAGATTACCAAGGGTTTTATTTGTTGAGGGCAACTAACAAAAAAAAAGTGAAGGTACTTAGCGGCATTACTTACATTGCACTCATGGTAAGAAGAAAAAGTCGAAGGAACCAGATCCGACTAAGGAAAGGAGGCCTCTTACTGCTACTGAAAAGTTGGGGTGCGAATTTCAGATCAAGCTTGAGCGGTCTGGTGATAAATCTAGGTTGTTCCTAGGGGTGGCAAATACAAAGAATCCTAGTGCTAATTTGGGTTTCCACAATCATCAGTTGGAGCTATTTCATGAGGGATCAAAGGGAAGGAACGTTTTTGACTGCAGATGATAAGCAATACATCAAATAGCTGAGATCGTCTGGTGCCCCACCAAGGAATATCCACAAGGCAGTGAATGAGAGAAAAGGTGCACAGGGAACACACAATAGAAAACAGATTTATAACGAGTTGCAAAAGATAAGGAAAGAAGAGCATGGTTAGATGACAGCCTTACAGTATACTTTCTGCGTGGCTCCGGAGAAGGGTTACTATGTGCAGTATATAAACGATCATAACGTGCTTAAACACTTGTTTCTAGCCCACCTTGAGTCAGTAGTGATGTGGCGAGCTTGGCACCATGTGATCGTGATATATGCAACATACAAGACCAATAAGTATGATATGCCTTGGGCTGAGATTGTCGGCATGACACCAGTGGGATTAAACTTTGTCATTGGCTTCTGACACATTCGTACCAGTGGCTTCTGATACATTTGCAACATCTGCTTGG